TAGCTATTTCAGTTGGCAAAGAGGCAGTAATTCACTTGCAAAAACATCATTAAGGTTTGTATAAATATTTGTGACCCTTAAGTCTGTTTACTGCTTTCTTGAGCCAAATAAATTTTTTTTTTCTTTTTTACAAGTATCTCCAAGGCCAGTACCTGGATTTAGAAAAAGACAAGTATTTCAAGAACCCGACCACTAAGTGAATAAACATGAAAGAACATTAGTATACAAGTAACAGGAAGTAGTTTTTTTTTCATAATGTGAGAATTTTCATATCAAAATAAAAGAAGCCATCATTAACTCCTTAGCTCCATTGTGAATGTGACTTAAGAACCTCGAGAAATTAGCAGCCACCGAAGATTGTGTAAGAAGAGTCTGGGAACAATATGAAAAATGTATAGAGAAAAGCTTTACATTAACAAGACCAGAGAAAATAGGATTTAAAAAAATTAAAATTTTGGATTAAAAATATATAATTCTCCTGAAAGAATAATGAATTTGCTAAGGCAGTAAACAAATGGTGTAATGTTGATAGGCAAGTGAAGTTTTTTTTTTTTTTATTCTATAATAGAGAGGCAAAAAAAAAAGTTAAAATTCTAAAACATTGGAATTAAAGGAAATCTGTAGGACTGAATGAAGACTTTGTAAAGATATGTTTAAAAAGATTCTTCAAAGCTTAAATGTGGCAGTATTAAGTACCCAAAGTTCTATCAAAGATACTTATTGAAGATTTTAATTAAAATTCGAAATTTGTTCACAGCTGACCAACAAAACAGGAAAAAAAGTTCAGAATAATGTTAAAAAAACAAAACAAAAAAAAAACAAAAAAAAAAACAAAATGTTTACAGCCTAAGCCTCTGCTAAATGCAGCAGTTATTTCATTTTCGTGTGTTTCGTCTGTGGGTCTAAACAAGGGTCTTGGTTTTAGAGGAAACAAAAAAGAATTTTTTTTTTTTTTTTTAACACTCGTGGTGTTTTATGCCAGAGTGCAGAAGAAAAAAAGTCCAAAAAATATTTGTTTACTCTGACAAAAAAAGAAAAAAAAAAAAAAAGGCTAGATATAAAATACATAGACATGTAGAACCTGTGTCTGTGAACACCTCGTTACCCCCCTCCAAAAAACACCCACAAACACTCACATCCACGCACACACACACCAACACACAGATGTCCAAGTGTTGGGAGGGGGGGCCTTGCAATGTATGGAGGCTTGTACAGTAAAAATAGCTTCAAGTCAAAAAAATAAAAAGTTAGAATCCATTATAGTTCACAGCATTTTCCTACTTTTGTGTGAAGTAAATAAAAAAATTGAAATAAAAATATATATATATATGTGTGTGTGTGTATATATAAAAATACAAAAAAAATAAATAAAAACACCACAGAGGGGGGGAAAAATGTTTTTTGTTTTAGACAATTTTTTTTGTTTATATTCTTCTTGAAAAAGAAAAACTGAGATTGTGAAAGAAAACATTCTTTTCTGCTGTTTGCATGTCATTCAGCAGTTTTGTTTTTGTCTTTTGCTCTTAAAAAAAAAAAAAAAAAAAAAAAAAAAATTTTAAAAAAGGTCAAACTAAGTGACAGCCAAATGGACATTCTGGAATGTTTCTTCCATTGTGTTGGGGGAGGGCGAGGGGTAGCAACAAAGATTCTTAAAAAAAAAAAAAAAAAAAAAAACTTTTTGTTTTTATATGGAGACAGTTGGGTTTTTCAGTACGAAAATAAAATAGTTTGTTTTTTGCCTTTTTCAAATCTTAACATCAACTTGTTTTAGAGCAATGGTTTCCTGTTTATTTGTATTTATATACAAAGATATTTCTGGATACTATGCTGCCAGTTTTATTATAAATTGCAATTTTTTCCTCTGGCATTTCTGTTGCAAAAGGGAAGGGACATTTCATGACTGAGAAGAAAATTGATTTTTTTTTTTTTTCCACGTTTTCTTTTTTCAACATTTTTTTTCGCTTTTTTTCTATTTTTTTTCTTGTTTTTTTTTCCTCTTTTCATTTTTTTTTTCAAAAGTTCAGGGTAAAAATTTATAAGATTTCTACTTTTTATAAAATATTTATTTTTAAATTCAGTATTTTGTTTCTCTTATGTTAGAAGGGGTAGATCTTTTCACATAAGGAATGATGTCTGGTGGCTGCCCAATTTGTGAACTATCTGGCTGTAACAATGTTGCAAGTAGATTCTAGCTGACAGATTAACAAGTCATTATTTCGGTTTTTTTAATATTTTTTTTCTTTACACTCTCAATGGGACTGGGCAGAAAAAAATACCACCAAGAAACTAAAGCATTGGTTGGTCGACCACTAAAAGTCTACAATATAACATTAGCAGCTTCAAGGCAAAAATGGGATTCAAAGTAAAATGAGTATCAGTATTAATTCTGGACAGGTGGGGGGGATAAAAAGGGGGAGAAGTTGCACTATTGAGTCAACTGTAGATATTTACATCATTGCAGATTTTACAAGCATATGAACTAGAGTGGGGTTTGAGTTGAAAGACTTGTGTATGCCTGAGTAGTGCATACTTGTACCAATATAGATGAGTAGTATGAACAGACTAAAACTGATGTTTGATAACTTAGAAAAACCATAAAGAAAAAAAAAAAAAAACAATTTAAGAGGCTTTATGGTTAAAATTTATATATGACATAACTAGAGACAACCCCACAAAAACCTTTATATTACAAACTACCTGAAACTTATCCAAATTTGTATTTGCAAAAAAAAAAAAAAAAAAAAAAAAAAATCCTAACAGGAATGAAAAATACCTTCTAGCATATAGCTAGAGGGGTGGGGGGAAGAGAAGGGGCTGAAATGTGGGTGATCAGTTAACTTGTCGTTCATAAAGTTTCCAATAAGGTAACTTAGGAAGAGTAAATAAGAGACACTATCCCTCAAGTATATTAAGGGCCCTGCCAACAAAATTTTTGTTCTAATTATGAGAGAGGATTAATAACAGCCTAAAAAAAAAAATGGTTATGCATTTTGAGATTAAGCTTGGAAAAATTTTTTTTTTTTTAAATTCTTCACAAAGCCTCAAGAGGCATTTTTTTTGTGTTGTGATCAATAGTTGCATAATAAAAGCATTGAATTATATATATTCAGGCTTGGATCTTCATCATCATTTCATCCTACTAGAGTAGAACATTTTTTTTTATATGATTTTTGAATTTTAAAAAAAAAAAAAAATCATGGGTTAAAAACAAATACGGATTTATGGTTAATATCTGCTGAACATGCCTGGTAAAATGTTTGAGGAAATAGGAAGAAATGGGGGTGGATTTGCCAGTTGACCCAAGGGGGGGAGGGAGAGAAACTATAATAGTTATAATGATAATGGTAAGAAAAAAAAGCAGCAGCAGCAGCTGTAAGACTTGAGGATTGGTATGCATATTGGACTTGTCAGAATTAAGTTTTTCATTTAACAAGGAGGACAGGAAGGAAGCTGAAACCCCACCCTGTATTTTTTTTGTTTTTTTTATTATTTTTACGGCAGGCAGTTGACACCTTATTAATCGAGTTATCACATAATTCATTTAAAAACTGTAATATTAGTCAAATATATAAGTTTTCAAAACGATGGTCAACTTAAAAAAAAATTAAAAAATAAAAAATGTTTGAATAGTCAACAGGTCATTTATTTTTCTGCGATCAGAACTATTCAATAAAGTCATTGGATTGGGTGGGTGAGGGCTGATCATGCTTTGAGCGGCTGTTAGCTTTCTATTCTTCAGCAAGAAATCTAAGGAACTATGAGTTTACAAAACAGTTAACTAGTATATGTATGTGTCGAGACAAACACGCAGCCCTAAGTACACAGAAGTACACTCACACTAAACAGGAGTGACACATACATATTTACTGCTGACTTTCTAAAAATTCAGAAACTGGTGCAGACAACACTTATCTACAAACAAATTTTATATATAAGAATCTAAAAGTAACTTTACTTTCACACTGTGAAAGAGTCCGTAGCAATGTAATGGTAATGACACACGTCATTATATAAAGATATATGTATATCTATTACTAAGAATTTTAAACATATTTTTATCTTTTTTTTTTGTTTAAAGTCTTTAATATGCGACTTTTTTTATTTATTTTTTTAATAGATAGATTTTATTTTTTTTTTTTAAATAATTTTCGTTGATTTTCCATTTTGGCTTTTTAATTTCATTTATAAATTTAAAATTTTTATTAAAAAAAAAAAAAAAAAAAAAAAAAAAAATATCGCGAAAAGATAACCCCTATTTTTTCAAAAGTGGGGTACAAATTTAAAAATTGATGAGTGCTGAGAGATTAGATGACTGCAATCCTGTCAATTACGTTTTTTTTGTACATTTATAGAAAAAAAAAAAAAAAAAAAAAAAGTATTTTTCCGATTTTGCCTCTCTTTAATTTTCAACCAAATTAAAATATTTTTTTCTTTTTTGGAAAAAAAAGAAAAGGAAGACTGGTTATATATCACTGTTTTAAAAAAAAAAAAAAAAAAAAAAAAAATAAAAATGCTTTATATTTCATTCTCACCCGACCCTGCAAAACATCTTTTTAATTTTAGTTCTTTTCTCAGCTTCTTAGCCCCAGTTTTTAAAGAGAAAAATAAAATTGTTTTGCTTTTTCCCTGAATTTAAAAAACAGTGAAATACACAATATATTTTGCATATAACACAATACATTTGTATATAGCAGATATGTGGATGTAATCAAGTTATCTTGACAGACATAATAGTAGTAATAATAATCATAATAAAAGTGTCCGTCATGATGAAAACCTTGACATCCAAATGTGTTTAGTGTATAAATGTGCACCCTTGTGCAAAATGGTATAGCTCTTTGAGTCCCCCTTCATATCCATTATATAATAACAATTGGCTTTCATAGCCTTAGTTGCTGCCCGGACAGGAATAAGGTTTGGCAATTCCCTTTCTTCCTTTTAGACAGCATCTTGCCGACATTTGGTGCTTCTGCCGACAATTGGGTTCCATTCAGTTTAGTTCACAACCATAGCAGACCATCCACTTTTGTGGTACTCAATACATTCTCCACATCATTTAACAGTTCAGTTGTGATATCTTCCTAAGTAAAAAAAAAAAAAAAAAAAAAAAAAAAATTAAAAACAAAAAAAAAAAAAAAAAAAAAAACCCAAATTAATATAAAGATAAAAGTCGTTATTACAGGAATCATCAATAAAATTAAGGAAGATTGAATAATGAATCAGGAAGAGTTAATTAGTACAAGCAACATTTCTTGATTGAATTGTGGGAAAAAAAAAAAAAAAAAAAAAAAAAAGATTACCTATTGACAGAGTCTCATTAAAAGGGGTTATTCAAAAGGACCCGTATATATATATATATATATATATATTTGTACATTATTTTTACAGACATAATTTAAGTAAATGCTATATTTTTTAGTTAAACAGTATTAATTACATTTACTGTCCTGAATGTTTGAGAAATTTCATAGAATATACATTCTCTGACAGGAATTGGACCTGTAACTCTTATGGGAACTATCATACTAATACAGTTTCATTAAAAACAGAGAATTTACTTAAATGTATAAAAATTACATATAAACAGGAAATATGTTAAATAATTGTCGGACTTAATCCATTTCATGATATATATAAAATTTGTCACTTAGCTGATTGATGTTATACAAACAAAATCTCTTAACATTATTTACATTACTCGGACTATTGTCCTCATCTTTGTCGCTATATTTATTACAACGTTTTGGCTGTTGTATGCTCTGGCCTTCATCAGGTAGTTGGAATGTCGAACTGAACCATTTATTTTGCTCACTTGGGTAGACTGTTCTAGTTCCATGTTTAATGGATGTCATTTATCAGTTATCTTCTGTTAATTCCCCTCTGAAAGTTCTCCACTGCCTTAACTGGGTATTGAACTCGCACTCTTTGGGTCCTGTCACTGGATCTAACCAACGCCTTTATCTACTGTGCCATGTGTCCTTGAGGACTACCTGAAGAAAGTCGGAGTGTACAACGGCCGAAACGTAATAAATATGGTGACAAAGATGAGGACAATAGTCTGAATAATGTAAATAGTGTACAATAATACCTCATCTCTGAAATATAGTCAAATTCTCTTAATTTATTAATTCTTTTATAGTTATAAATATAAGCCATACATTGGATTTTGTTATGGTATGTTTTTCAATGAAATATATTTTAAATGTTTGTAATATTTGTTGTTAGAGGAGGAGGTGGAGAAACTGAAGAGAGGGTATAACAGCCCATATTTTTATAAATTAGGATAATTATCTATTGATTGACACTATAAATCATGAAATAAATAACTTTTGCTAAAAGGAAAACCATCTTTCATGTCAGGTTACGAACTTAAGATTTAAAAAAAAAAAAAAAAAAAAAAAAAAAAAATCAAAATTGAAGATGTGAATGGGACAAGTTTTAACTACAATACATCCTTCAGACAAAAGCTAACAAATCTTGGTTACTGAAGAATCTAACCATTAATAATTATTAACAAATATGGTTTAAAGGATTGAATTTAATTCATATTCACAATTCTTACTACAGATTTTAGGATGTCATTTTCCAGACAAACTAGGCTTGGAATATTTACAAATACTTCATTTTTTAATTTTTTTTTTAATTTATTCATTCAATGGAAATTGTTAATTTCAACATTAGCAAACTTTGGCATTAATCAAGCAGTCTTTGAAATAAAAACAAAAAAACAAACAACAAAAAAAAACAAACTAGAAATCTTCAAAAATTCCAAGACTTAACAGTTGCCAAACTGACCTTCAAGTAAAGGATTGTGGTTTTGTGTATTTTGTTGTTTGAAATTTCCTTAAATATTTTGGGAAATTATCAAAAGAAAATAAAGATTACCCAGGAATGAATTAAATCCTAGCAGACAAAGTCAGTATTCCTCAGATTTCATTCATTAAAATCTGCAAGTGGCAGAATTCCAAAGTTAGTATGTTGCTGAATGGCGAAGACATTAGCATTCAATCACATCATGATCAATTAGTCAAGGATAAGACTTATTGGTAGTATTGGCCTGGGAGAGATTATCTTGGCAAATGACACTGTTGGGAAATACCTGAAGCCCTCAGCCATGAACTGACCCCAAGCCCCGAGAGTAAATTTGGGTAGACAAAACTGTTTCAAAGCCATTGATGCTTGTGATAATGGCCAGCTAGAAACATTTCAGCATTATAGATAGTAATTCTACAGAAAACACCCAGCACTCTGTCCATTCTTGAGAATAAAAGCACACTGACTGAAATTCTTAAATCAAATGTATTGTGCAATTTGTTGCAAGCAGAAAGTCAAGTGTAGCAGAGGGTACATTCCCCAATGTTATTTTACTATATTCTTGAAGACAAACAAGATAGTGATACCTTTATATGCTAAACTTCTCAAATTTTGTTGACCGCCTGGGTTGGTCAATAGCAAAATGTTGACATTTAGAAACTGATCTCAACTTATAACCTGTCATTAGAAGACATTGGCTTAGCCTTGTATAAAACCTTCTCAACTAAGGAAATACCTCAAAGAGCAACAACTAAGCTTCCTACCAAAGGGTGTAAAACAGAAAATACTCTAAGCTGAAAAATGAATATAAATGTAAGTATCCTCAACCTAAGCCTACTGTATTGACTAAACTAATCAGTTTAGTACTACTAGTATAGTACCATGATTATTTACATTTAGGTTTGTATTTCTTCTAAGGATCAAAGATGATCTTTGTGTTGAGTGTTCGAGATAACATTTTTAAATATATGAATTATTATTGTTATTTATGCTTAATAACATTAATTATGAACAATGCCACAATATACTGACCATTTGGGAATTTAGAATATGTCTACATTTCAGTAACATTTGGATTGTCTACAATCGGTCTTATACAACTATAATAAATGATGTCTGATTAAAATCCTTGAAAATGGTTAATAGATTAGCTGAAAGCAGTTTGGAAGTCAAATATTGACAATTTCTACACATTAAGTTCAGAAATTAAAACACTCGTTTGCATCTAAGAAAAATATAATAAAAAAAACCTCAAAAAACTTCAAATATCTTGTTAGTTTTGTTTAACAAAAACTGTATTAAAGTTAAATACGTAATTTTATTTACCTTTCCATTTTAGGCAAACAAACTTTAAACGTGACCTGTACTTACTTGTAAGCTTGGAACCAAGTCATCACTGTCCATATTTGTGTTTTCACCACTGTCTCCTACATTCCCAATGTCCATGTTGCTAAAATCACCTGGACTTTGCATTTTGTGTCCTGAAGCAGAAACCAGTAAAGAAAACTAGAAGTTGTAAAACGACAAACGTAAAAACAAACAAATCTGTACACAAAAGATTAAATATACTTAGCATTAAATCTGATTTATTTTTCTTTGAGTTGGCAGAATATAAAAAGGAGTAAAGGCACTTTCAGAATTGGATATCAACTGATTTTTTTCTCACAGCCTACTTCAATAAAAAGCATAAAAATAAGAGAAAAATGGAAGGGTTAAATTCAGAAAAAAATCAAAATGAAATCATTTAACATGGCTATTTTGAGTAATTTACATCCATTCTACTAAACAGACAAGATTTTAAATATTAAATTAAGGGGGTTTGCTTATGCCCAAATACAGTATATAACAGATAACACGTTTATATACATTGCAATATAGGATAAGTTCTAAAAAAAAATATTGGTACCAAGTGGCAGAAGAAAAGGTTCAAATAACATCCTGCAAATTTTATATTTGTTAATTACTTTTGCAATTTAGAAAGTATATATATATATATATAATAAATTTGTAGGTCTGATGAATTGGATCATAATTACGATTCCAATGAAATAAATTATAGCCATGGAATATTAGTGTTTAAGCCTTTTATATATATATATATATATATATATATATATATATATATATATATATACACACACACACTTCACCACATGGGAAGTACATTTCTTCCTAATTTAAGTAAATTTTCTTTAATACCGAGTAATCTGATTTTAAAATTGTCGAATAAAAACAGGTAAAAAAGAAACAATGAAACAAAATACAAAAAGTGATTTGTCTCCCTTGAATCTCGAGAAAAAAAAAAAGAATTAAAATTCAAACTTTTTTAAACTGGAGAAAATTGCTTAAGCCGTTTTAGTATAAATTTCTATTTAATTTCTTTATATCTTAAAATTTTAAACTATTGATTAAACACAGCTTTAATAGGGATTTCTTATGAAAAATAAAAGGGTCCAGATTTTGTCATCAAAATGACTCTTGAAAACTGGTATCAATTTCAAAGCTGAATCAGAAATTGTCAATACATTTAGAACTTTGATGTTGTTTACAATTTATTGCCCAACAAAGATGCTACAGTACAGAAATTATAGATAGGGTTATTCATAAGATTCCTTTTAATAGAAAATTAAGTTGTATTCTATAATTTACGACAAAGCAGGGCTCTTCCAAAACATTTTCCTCTTATCTTTCTGACAGTACCGTGTGTGTGTGTGTGTAATATACTATTGTAGGTTACATAAAGATGTTCCATTCCATATTCTTAAAAATTAGCAAATGTAGCAAACCCACTGCTCTTCATCACGTCTATAAAATGAAACAATGAAAGAGACAATGAAAGACAAGGAAATTTAGCTGAAAGCATCAATGTTAAAAGCATCTTTTTTTGTTGTCTTGTTACAGAAATTCGAGACATCTCTACAGATGGTCACAAAAAAATTTCCATTCAGCTTTATTACATAGAGCTGAAGTGTTTTATCTTTTTTTTTTTTTAAAGCTTTAAGTACATCACAAATGTAAATATAAATTTTACGTTATTGTTGGTTTAGTTTTTATTAAAAATTAAACCAGTTGTTTTATTGAAAATGACCACTTTTGTAAATGTACAAACATTTCAAAATACACTTAAAAATTTATAAAATTCGACATATTTAAACTATTTAAAAATACATCATGAGAAAATTACATTATGTCATATTAATCCATTAAATTCTAACATTTTTAAGGTTGATAGTATATTAAGAAAAAAAAAAAAAAAAAAAAAAATATTATGCATTTGTTCATCCACAGCTGATATTTTTAAATTACCAAAAAATATAAATGCAGGCAGACAAAAGTGGAATAAGAAAAAATAATTATGAGGTCGAAGAAGGGCAGGATGTTTATTTACCCCCATCTTGTGTATCCATTTCATCTACATTTGACAGGAAATCTTCGGAAGATTTTAAACTGTAGTTGGTCCCCATTCCACCTGGAAAAGAAAATAAATCATTTTAAGAGACTGGAATAAAAATTCATATATATATATATATATATATACACACACACACACACACAACCTTGTGCAAATTAATTGAAACAAAGCAAATTCCGTTATTTAATTTTTTCGTATTTTTCCAATAGTACAAAATATGTCCATTCCATGAAGGTGTTCCTTGCAGACTGATCAAAGATTCTTAATTGGATTTAAATCGGGAGAGTTTCTAAGTCGGCCTATAGTACTTTGATTTGCTCACTGATAAGGCTTGCCTGTGTGCAAGCATTACAATTTTTGTATGCCTCCTTGTAGTAACATCCATTGCAGACAATGGCCATAGGACAACTAACCGACATTCGAGACAATAGTGTCTGTGCGTGATGAAAATCCGATGCAATAATGGATGACATATTTTTCAAGGCCAAACAAATATCATCATACACCCTGAAAATAAATTCATATTACTGCACATCATTTCAAATGACCTAATCTGAGAAAAAAATAGAAATTGATTACACTGTTAATCCAGTGAGTCTATAACTGACTGTATGGTGAAAGAAACTAAACTGGTTGTTTTAATTAATTTGCACAAGATTATATATATGCGCCAAGATATACAAAATGTCTTTCATCACCGGAAAAAATCTGTGAAAGATGATGTATGAAATATAATTGACATACAAAGAATTTGGATAAACTGGGATTATTTTAAACACTAGGTGTGTGTCCATGTATGTACGCATGTGAGTGAGTGAGTGTGTTGTTATACATCGAGCAGGCTTATGGCCATATCAAACACCAGTTCTCATCCAATCACTGAAGTTAAGCAACATTTAACCTGTTCAGTACCTACATGGGTGACCGCTCAGGAATACCAGGTGCTGTAAACTTGAATGGTGTAATGGATAATGGCACAGAATGAAAAATCAGAGTGGAGTTCAAATTCCAATTAGGTTCATTATATTCACTTACATGCAAATAGCCTCAACAGTACCTTCTTCCAAATATAGGTCAAACTTGTATTAGAAAATTATTTTCTCCACAAAAAAATACTTATGATCCAAAAATGTTTTGATATTAAATAACATTAAAAAGGTTGACAAGATATATATATATATATATATATATATATATATATATATTGAAACCTTGGTTCACAAATTTAATTAATTCCTGAAGGCTGTTTGTAAACCAAAACTATTTTTCCAATAGAAATCATTATAGAGGGAAAAGTTACAGTACAATAAAATTGGAAAAGAAAAGCATGGCACAACACACAAATGTATACTTGGCTGTAAATTCAGAAATAATTCTGTTTGGGTTAACTTGGCTCGAGATCAGAAATTTTGTTTGATAACCGAGACATTTTCATGTCTAATTTTCTGTTCAATATGCGAACCATTTAACAACCAAGGTTGATCTCTCTGATCATATATATATATATATATATATATAAGCAAAGTTATGTTGTGCTGTACTAACCAGGGAAACTAATGTAGAAAGTCTTTTTTATGTAATGATAATACTATGAGAAATTGGCCAATATAAAAAAAGTCATACTTTCACACTAAAAAAAGAAAAAAACTCTTACCAAGTCCACTATCTGAACTTTCTTGCCTTGAATGTAAGTCTGCCTGGCTCGTGTGTCCTAAGAAAGGGTCTGTGACTGAGGTCATTTCATTGGTTTGAGCAATTTGAAGGTCAGAATCAGGATGTATCTGAGCTCTGAGGAGCATCTCCTTAAAAAACAAGATAATATTAGATTCTTAAAATTAGAATTTGGTAATGCAGGCAACTCTAGATATTTATATTGCTGTCATGAAGTAGGAAATATTTCCAGAGAAAATGGAAAAAAAGAAAAATAGAATGGAAGAGAGAATATTTTCCTGTAAGAATCATAAACACTCAAAAGCACTTAAAAGAAATTTTAATTCATTTCCAACATTCAACTAATAATCTTTACATGATTATAATTCAGAAATAACCAAAGTCTTTGTGTGGTTATCCAAGTGTGATAAGAACTGATTAAAAATCAGATCTGTTTATCAGGATGGTTCCTTTTCTGTTCTGACCATTTATTGATATTACCTGTCTGGTGATTTCTTCTGCTCTCTTTTTTAACTGCTCTTTCTCCAGTGCAAGGTTATGGAGTTGCTGAATGCTTGGTGCCATCACCCGTTGACCCTGGTTTGGTTGGTTGTTGTTGTTGTTGTTGTTGTTAACCCCTACAACTTGACCTCCAGGAGACTGTTGTTGTTGTTGTGGTTGTGGGCCTGGCGAAAGTTTTAGTGATTGCGGACTCTGTCCAGAATTCTGTACTCTGACACCCTGAACTGTATGTTGTTGCATGTGAATAGCTGAAGGAGAGAAAGAGAAAAAAAAATGTCATCAGCATCAATAATAGAAGTACTTTTTACTTTTACTTAGCAAAAGTCAAAGACAAATGACATTTGATTTTTATGAAGTTCTAAAATTTGTGTTGCATTCAACTCTGAAGTATATAAAATGTAGTGTAGACTACTGTTGTAACCTAGGGAAGGTTACCAAATAGAATAATCAAATGAAGGTTGGTGATGAACAATAATACTTATGACAAGAACAACACATATAAGATTTGCCAGTAGCACATAGAAGTAGTCAACTGCTAAAAGTGAGTAAAGTGAATTCCACAATGAATCTCCAACTGCAGGATATCTACCAACTGGCTCATGCAGTCAGATGTGGCACAAGGCCAAATTTAATGTGGGGTAGTCAAAAATTCCCCATTCGGGTAGCTGTTTCCCAAGACAAGACTCTTGCCCTTCGATGTAGCCTCATCTGGGGATCCTTTCTGCCTCGAAGCAGAGAGTTTGGCCAGCACAGCTGGAGATGAATCTCCAACTGTAGACCAACATACAGTATTTACTGCTGCATTTATATGAACGGGGACGTTCCCATTATTGTCCGTAGGTATGCTACAACAACTACAATTACACCATAAATCTTTTTTTTATGTTTGTCTATCATCCAGTTCACACTCCTCCCTAGTATTTTGAACAGGAGTAGAAGTTTATCCCTTGATTCCTGTTTAGGATTGGGTTCCCGGTTTCTTCTAAAGTCTTCTCATTCTCTTTCACTCCCAGTAGCTCCATGTCTTAGTGAAATTATATATATATATATATATATATATATTCAGTTTTGAGCAGGGCAGGAGGCTTAGTATGAGATACTGAAAACGAAAATTATTTTTTTTCTTTTTTTCCTTTGTTTTTATTGCATGTCTGAGTGGGTTAAGCAAAAAATCTTAGGCAACCAAGTGTATTTTTATAGTTTTTGCTTCTGAATTTCTGGGATGACAACTTATTTACATAATTTACAGTCTGACTAACATCCACATCTTTGCTGGTATTATGCTATGGTCATGGTGTTCTGTCTTCAGGTGATTTGAGAATTTGAAATTGAACACTAATGTACAGGGCTAGACTATTCCTTCCTAGGTACCATGTATGATGTATGCTTGGGTGATAATGACACTTCAATTCATGACAGACTTGGCAAAAGAATTCCTGAAGTAGGCTGCTATTACTTTTTGCAGTAGGGCAGTGTGCTATTTAATCCATAGCTGCACAAGCAAATCTAACAAACATAAGTGAAATCCAAATTTGGCCCTTTAGTTGTTCAAAGATATGAGGAAAATTAAGAGTCACCCGACTTCTTGGTAAAGAATGAACTAATAAAACAAGGGAAAAGAGAAAGAAAAATTCAAGCAGTATTGTATCTGATTGACAATAATGAACTTTTTCAATTCAGATAAATTAAACTTAGTTTCAACATCAAAGATATAATTCAAAAAGCAATAGCTTCCATTTGAAATTAACATCCTCACACTGACTTAACATTAAATTTATAGATTCAATAAATCTTATTTAATTTACATTATCTGTACTTTTTCCATTGAAGATGTTGCTTTCCACTTGGATGGTAACATGCATAGCATCAAAATATCACTTAAGATTTAAAAAAAAAATTCTTTGAAGAATGAGGACAAAAAATGACTATAATGACTTTTTTGATGGATGAAGATAGATTTTTGACATGGTGTATTGGACCAAGTAGTGAGTTTTATCCTGAGTCCTCCCTATTTTAGGCCTTATGCCACACCTAAGCGATGCTTAATAAATCCCTACAAGATATTAATATTCGAATAACAATTGTTATTGATAATAATTTCTGACATTGAGTTTAAGCGTTTTGGGTCTCATTTATCCCAAGTAAAGATCACAAAAAAACTCTTTAAAAATACCATCTAGATGCAAGAGATTATAATTTATAGTCATTTAGCTATAATAGCAGCACATTGGATGCAGTGTAATATTTAAGATACTGTACCAACAAGTCCTTTACTTTGATCTCATGTTGGGAGGCGGGGGATTATAAAATGTGTGTGGGGGGGGGGGTGAAGAACAGTAAGTATTTTGTTTTCTAACAGTAGAAGAGATTAAATACAATTAATGAGGGGCTGCTTGAAATATCTTACTGGCAAATTGAAAGTTTTTTGCTGCTTCTAAATCCAAAGTTCTTTTGGTTTAAAGAGGAGAATGAAGGTATGAAAGATTTTATTTTCTGTCTCATTTTCAATTGATTACAGTTTTTAATCAATTTTAAAAGTCACAGGGCTTCATTGCATATTTGTAATCACCAATATTTAGTGTCAAAGAATCAAAATTGAATTTTGTTTTTAAAATGTCTTGAAACAAAAAAGAAATCTTAATTTTATTTCCAGTTCAGAAAATTTTGTCAGATGTACATTCCTTTTTTCCAAAGCAACATATTGAATTTTAGTTACGAAGGGAATAGATGGTTGTCTAAAGCTACACTACTCCTCCCAAATTTATAGGAAAGAGAATGTGTGTGTGTGTTTGGGGGGAATACAGCAGGGGTGGGGAAGGGAAGAGGAGAAAGCGGAATACAGCAGGGGTGGGGAAGGGAAGAGGGAGAAAGCGGAATACAGCAGGGGTGGGGGGAAGGGAAGAGGGAGAAAGCGGAATACAGCAGGGGTGGGGAAGGGAAGAGGGAGAAAGCGGAATACAGCAGGGTGGGGAAGGGAAGAGGGAGAAAGCGGAATACAGCAGGGGTGGGGAAGGGAAGAGGGAGAAAGCGGAATACAGCAGGGGTGGGGAAGGGAAGAGGGAGAAAGCGGAATACAGCAGGGGTGGGGAAGGGAAGAGGGAGAAAGCGGAATACATCAGGGGTGGGGAAGGGAAGAGGGAGAAAACGGAATACAGGGGTGGGAAGAGAGAATGAATGAAAAAGTTTTTGATGTGACTTACGAATTCGTGGGTCATACCAGCTTGTTGTCCGCTCAACGTGATTGATGAAGTAGACTTCGCCCTCATTAGTTGTTGCTTGCTCCCAGCCTGGTGGCAGAGGCCCTATGTTTTGTATTTGGGCAGGTGGCGACTGCTGTGACTGTGGTCGGTTTGGTTGTTGACTGTTCAGTACAGATGTGCTGTGTGATTTCCTGGGATCATGCCAAGTTGTTGACTGATCTAGGTGACTACAGATTAAAAAAAAAAAAAAATAAATAAATAAAAATAAAAGTATGCGAAATAAGCATTTTCAGAATCATTCCTCCTAAAAGTGAATCTTCACATCCAGTTTTCATGTGAGTGGGTGACTATGGAAATGTATTACTACTTTTAATAAGACTGGTACATTTTAGATTAGAATTATGGGATGGCATATGCAGAAGGAAAAAGGTGCTATTATGTCTTAGTATGTTATCACTTTATGTTAAGTCTTGGTCAAATCTTAAATATCTTAATTTACAAAAGAAGTGGCAAGACAACAAAAGGAAATTTAAAAAAAAAAAAAAAAAAAAAAAAAAAAAAAAACGGACACTAGTGTCCCATCCTGAAATCAAATTATCAGTGAAAAAGTGTGACCGAAATTTGAAATTCCTACACCTGCTGATTGTGATTTAAAAATCTTAAATTAACAAAAATAAAAGAGCGATGTGCAGATCGTGTACAATCGTTATTGGCATGGAGATTGAAAGTGGTGAGCCAAGTTCAAATTCAGGTGGACTTTATACTAACACATTTGAGAAAGTTATGAACCCATTTTTTCCTCTAGTAGAGCACACTACCTGGTGACCAGTTTAGGAGAAGGGAAATTGAATTAAAAACCAACCCGAAAAGAGATGGGCTCTGTCAGGGTATATTCCCTTAGATAGGCCACTACTGCCACAGTACATGTAATATCCCAATGACCCTGATGGGATACGTTACACTCCAAAGAGCTCCCTTTTAAATAGAGGAATTTAAATTTCTGGTTTAGACTTTGAAATATTCAGATAGTTTGCAGGAATACAGAAACTGAAGTATCAAATAAATTGGAGAGGTAAGGGTCCGTAGAATTGTTAATTATTAACAATAACATTTGTTTTGAAGATAATACCTCCTCCTATCATCCCTAAATAAATTGAATATTGGGAGCAAGTAAATAAGGCTGAAAAATATAAGAAATAATAAAATATAAGAAAACTTAGAAAAATCCGAAATATTTTCATTTAATTCTTTTAATTACAAGATGATCCTCATCTTTACTTTTCTCATATCCAATCCCAAAATCTAACATTTGAAAAAAATCTTCCAACCTCCAGGATGTTTGTGCTAATTTAAAGCTACACAGAGTGTTTACAAAAAAAAAGAAAAAGCCTTCTTGTGGTATAAAAAATACATATTTCCCAACAGACCCTAAGTAAAGGCCAGGATTTCTAGGCTGGCAAGCAATCTGTAATATTGTTTTTGATTTCTATCCCATCCTGGTCTTGTGCTATAGAGGCATTGGCACAGTATAAGTAAAAAGGATATTCCCACCCCACACTCTGAAGAGAAACTTCAACGATTATAAAAGTTTGCTTGTGAACAAAAAAAAAAAAAAAAACCCTAATGTAATTGTCAGTTTTCAAAATTTACCTTGATAAAATTTCAATAGATACGAAACCAGTCAGTAATATATTTCTTTGGGGGGAGAAGTTTAAAAAAAAAAAAATAAAATAAAATAAAAAAAAAAAAAGTAAAAGAAAAAGTTTTTTTGTTTGTTTCTAAAACTTATCCCCCACCCTCAAGGTTTAAAATCCTGTTCAAGTGTATTTGAAACGAAAGAGAAGCTCAAACTAAGATTAATCTCCTATCCTCCCAACCCAAGTGAAAAGGGAGTAATTGCGTAGTTTATCATGTGTGTTCGCACCTATCTGAATGTTATATAAGAAACGATAATAGTTTCCCCCCTCCCACCTCAAGAGAATTAGTAAGGGTGCGCCTCAACCATATAGAACAAAAAAAAAATCTTTAAAAAAAAAATCTCTTCAATGAAACTCATAATGAATTAACCAAACAAGAAATTTTGAGTTAGCTAGACAAGGTTACATTTGGATAAGGTTATAGAAATAAAACTACTAAAAAAAGCAACAAATAAAATCATACCCCTCAACGTTTAATGTGTATAGTTTCATTATGTAGTAGTTGTATACCTGTGAGAAAAAGTAAAAGTAGTGTGTGAAAATAGACCTATATATACAGAAATGTAGGTCAGACAACACTAAGATTGGAGGAGGGACTGACTGCCTGCCTTCGTTGGCAAGGTGAAACTCAAGAAAACACATAACAACGTTCCAGCAGTTTCAAGTTTATTCTAACAACACACACATGCATCATAAACACAATCTTGCAGTCTTAATTGCTGTCGTCGTTCATAGCATAGAAAGAAGAAAAAAAACTTATATAGACGGAATACAACTAAAAACCATCAAAACAAAAATCTCTAAATTTTTAACGTAAGAACCTACCTACATTTTAAAAAAAATTTAATTAACATTTCAATTTACGTTTTTTGAGGTGGGGTGAAGGAGCAGGAAAGAGTATTTTAAGATGTCCAGTGTTAATTCCAAATGTAACTGTCAATGACAAAAACAGTCTGTAAGGAAAGAAAAAAAAATAGGATGTTATTGTTTATTTATTTTTTAAATTGAGACATAACAGACGTTTTTTGGTTGATTAATAATAGAAAGAGTAAAAATACCTCTGACTGAATTGGATTGACAACTCTTGCAAGTTAGAAATTGTTGTCTCACGCCGCCGGGCTCGACACAAACTTCAATTACTATATTTATTTATGACCAGGTGACTAGTTAGCTTTTTCTCTGTCACAAAGTTTATATATCGTTACGAATCAATTTCGGTGAAGATGAATATAAAAAAAAACAAAAAAAAAAAAAAAAAACTTAATCTTCGAGAGATACGTTTTTAAAAAAGAAGTAGGAAAAATGTGTTTAAGATCTTAAATAGTAGAGGTAAGAAGTAGCTAAAAAAAAAAATAAGTAAATAAATAAATAAATAAATAAATAAAATCCCGCAACCAGGCACAGGAGATTATTAAAAAAAAAAAAAAAGTCTTAACGAAGAGAGGCTGAATATGTAATCCAGAGGAGGAGACAATTTGATGACAGGGAAATGCATGAGTTTGGAGAGAGTAGGTAGTTGTTAGGCGGAGGTGTGGACAGTGAATAAGACATTTACATAACCTTCTCTACAACTTTCTTAAAAGATTTATGTCAGCAGTAAAATTAAGAATAGTGCCTCGAAGGGTTAGACAAACGATGAAGAAAGAGGTGACATAACGAATCTAAAACTCATTAACCTGCAATTGTATGGCACGGACAGGATCTAAGCTCTTGTAACAAAATAGTTATTTAATCGCATTGTGTATTTAAAAAATTCTTTGGTCTTAAAAGCAATTTTCTTTTTAGCCTGAAGGAAGAACATAAATAATTGAAACTGATGTAAGATCTTACACACTGGTTATTGTCAACTTGATTCAAGCCAAATAATTTTTTTTTTTTTATACAAGCGATGCTAATCAAAATCTTACATTTTATTACTGTAGGCACCAATTCAAGGTCAAATTGGTGGAAATGGAGCAGAAAAGATTGTCTTCTTACGCTAAGTTTCTAAGTGTGGAGAGTCTGAATTCGAAAAAATTACTTAAAATTACTTAAAAAAACAAAAAAAAAAAACAAACAAACAGACTCGAACACTAGCATCTTTACAATATCAATCATGATTGAAACAGGTCACCAAAATAATTACTAGCTGGAAGCACCCCCTCCCCCTGCCGCCAAAGACTAACAAGAGATTCCATTGGTTATATATTTTGAAACAAAAGACAAGGAGGAAGAATAAGAACTAAATCTGAACTTTTTGCTCACGTTTCGGATCGTTACTCAAGTGTTAAGTGTCTATTTTTTTCCTCTACTAAAAAAGTAAATAATAGTAATTTAGTATGCCTAAGTTACGACTAGCAAAGAATTATCTGCTTATAGTGAAGCGTAACATGAAAGATCGTCTTTTACATTTTTAAAACTATTTTTTCTTAGTAAAAGCCGGCAATTTGTTTGTCAAAATATTTTAAGCTTCCAAGACAATTTCAAATAGTAAAAATGCCAGGTCTCTTCAGAACATAATCGATGACGTCTTTTCACAAATTTCTGTGAAAAGCCATATTCGCAGGAAAGAGAACGATTTTATTTCTGCCTTTTTTTTAAGGTTTCAAATTCAGAGGAGTTCTTCTCTTGTGACTGCCATCCAAGGCTAGAAAGCCCAGTCTACCTTGATGTTTAACAACTGAGGTGGGGAGGAGATGGATCCATGCCTTTCCTTTAGTCAATAGTACAAAACAAAAGTGAACATAGTAGGCAAGAACTCGGCTCGTCAACTGCACTTTTCGCACATCTAAAAAAATAGCCAAGTTTAATTAGTTATTTTAAAATCAAAGAATAGTGTAAACTATTTTACACATGATATTATAGACAATATATTGTGCGTTAATAATATTTAAAGAACGAAGCATAATTTTTAACATATATAGGCAGTTGATGTGACACATTGACATAAAATAGGTCAGGGGTCACACCATCAGTGTCCAACTTTAAGTTGGTTACTACAAATGTAAAGCTGAAATGGAAAGGTATCCACAGGAATCTGTTAAAAAAACCCTGATTTTGAAATGTTTTATAGTAAGCAAGCAAACACTTGAAAAGAATGGCGCAACATAATCTTCCAACTCTTGACTTTTCTTGTGCAATGATTAGCCTGCATTTAGAAGTCATTAATACTTCTCCGTTTAGAAATAGCTCAAGAGAAAAAAAAAAGCGTATAAAAACAGATGACAAAAACAAATTACTAGTTCATTCGTTTATTATACAAAAAATTAAACGCTGAACATTAAGCACAATTGTCTGAAAGAGTGGTCCCATATGGATAGAATGTGGTGACGTCATCATTGATAGAGTTTTCGTCACAGAAGAATGACTTGTTTGCTATCATTTAGTGTTTTAAGTTTATCTTTATCACAGACTACAAACATGGCCTTATATTTTTATCGGCACAAAGGCAGAAAAATAAATGCGTAATTAGTGCTTTGTAAATTTTAGCTTAAAGTTTATTTTATGGACAAAATTCATTTTAATTTTGAAATAATTGAAGTTAAGCTACT